TATTTTAATGTTTCAGGAGTACCATTTACTTCATCATCGACACCTACAGCAAGATGCTTTCGAAGTTTTTACGATTGGTTTTCCAGTATCATTGAAATTGTTCCTTTAGCATTGTTGACATCTGGCATATTAAGCGCATATCAGATTGATGAAAAAATTCGTACGTTGTTATTGTTTCTTGGTACAATACCAGTATTTTTTCCACTAGCGATAAAACAGAAGGAAAGCCAAATCAGGAAACTACGTTTCTTGACGAATATTACTGTCGTGCTGCAGATTTTGGCGATAATGATACTCGGCTTAAAAAATGGTAATTACAATGTCATTAGTTTAGTCGCTTCCTATACTTTTGAACGTTTTTTTGTGGAAGAATTTTGTTATCGATACAGTATTCCGTATACCGATCTGATGCAGTATTGCATATGCTTTGTGGAAGTTTTTACGGTATCAACGCTGAAGGAATTATAGAAAAATATGAGACTTTAATTTATCTGTCATCTATTTCAAGCAACTGTTATTAAAAATTTAAGGTTCTTGATTAGTTGTTGCGGCCACATTGTCTTAAACGTGAAGTGAAAATATACAGCTTATTTTCACTTTATGTCTTTTACTGATAACTATTTACTGACTGTCAAAGAGAGATAAGAGTAATTTTAGTTCATTTTTATAAATACTTTAAAGTTATTATATTATTTTGTTTTATCTAAATTCTCTTTACAAATGATATGCAAAAAATTTGTCATTTTTCGCTTATGACGTCACATTTCAATATGACCGTGACACCGGAATCAGAAGACTTAACAAATTAATTATATTTGATACAAAGAATGTCAATTTTTAAGATAATATAAACAAATCTATGCCTTTTGTTATAATATTAATCTTGCAATTGTTCGATAATAGCTGACACTGTAATACATATAACATTGAGTTTGGTATCGACTTGTAAATTAACAATATTTAGGGGAGAGTGGATCCATAAATGGATCATGTTCCAAATAGGACTTTTTTAATTTAAATGAATACGATTAACCAGATTTGCATATACTTTTTATAATATAAAGTCCTTATAAGACACCGAAAAAATGTGATAGCAATTTGACAGTTTTCTGTCAAACATATCATAACATTCATAGAATAGATTCATAGAATATAGAATATAGACATAGAATAGGCTGTGTTTTCAGCCATCGTGCGAAAGTTTTTAAAAAAAAAAGTCCTTATATCATTACTTAAAAGGTGTTAAAAATTTGAGAGATAATTTAAAATAATTAAAGAGTGCAATTCAAAAATATCAAGTGTTTTGTGATCACTTTTGCGGTTTATTGTAAAATTTGTTACAAAGTTTAAAAGGACCTGTGTTCAAATTGTACAATATATAACTTATACAATAGTACAATATATAACTTATAGGCCTGGTTGTAGTACTAGTAATTGGCCGATCAGATCTAGTCCAAGGAATTAAATCAGTAAATAAAACTAAATATATAATGCTCATTTGTAACTAAACGGTATAAGTGTGACATTAAGGTATATGAGCAATAGCTAGATTACAGTTGTTAAAATTTCATATAACATCAAATAAAATAAAAACGTTTCGACCAGAACAAATTTCTTAAATTTTTAAATCAATGAAATATTATGAGTCATCAGACTCAGATTAATTGAGTTTTATTAATTTCAATTCTAATAAAAAATATAAACTGTCAGTAATTTTTTTTCTGAATAAAATTGTTATCTTTGACTGTCAAATTGCTCGTTTTTATTCAGTATTAAAAATATATTAAAATATTTTAAAATTCTATTTAAAAGTCCATAAGAATAGTGTCCGATTTAGAAAAAGCGTTTTTACATTTTCCATTATAATTCGATACAGGTGAGAGAACAAAAAATTGCCTCAAGCAAAAGTGAGAGAAATTAAATGATCTTTCCAACATTCAATTTTACGATCAGACTTTATTTACGGCTTATAAAAAGCAAAAACTGTAGATAGGTCCGATTTACTCCACTCTCTCTTATATTAAATTTTCATATATATTTTACATGTGTCAGGAAGTACTGCCAATTTTCAAAACAAGATAATTATTACATTCTTTAATACTCTTTTATAGAAGAATTACCTTAAATAATCTAGCTGAATAACTCGAAAATATTTAGACCAGCAACGTGTCTATCTTGTTGCTGGCATGTTGCTTGTTAAGTATGCATTGCTAAGTATAGGTTTGTTTTCTGTGGCTGAACTAGTGTATACTTTTGGAACTTAAAGTGAGATAGATATATGTTTGACATTTGTTTAAAGCGAGAAAGAGAGTTCTAGAACAGTCTAGTGCAGAAAACAGACCATATGTTGCTATCAGAATTGCAGCAACTGAATCCTCATTTGTTGTCAACTTGCTACCAGCAATTTGCCGATAATTTTAAAATCGTCATCAACAAAATCGTATTGTTGCCATCATGTAGCCATAATAATATGATGCAACATCATACAATGCCGTTATATTGTCGCGAGATAATATTGACGCAGCTATCTTGCTGGCAATACATATATACATTGTTATCTGCATGTTGTTACAATGTCGATATATTTGAAATCATGACGTATGTTGAAGATAAATCTACGGCAAGTTGCCAGCATCATAAGCAATCATAGATTTGTACGATTTTGTTGAGATACGCTTTGCTATCTGGGGAGCCCTGGAGGCTTATTTAGACAGAAGTTGTATGTGTAGAACGATAAAAATCACTTTTTAAAATTTATTTTTCAAAATGTATTGTGAAGTGAAAACTTATGCAATTTGCGATATGCATTTATATTAAGTGTGGGAAAAAGTTCATGGCGTTTTTCCCATTAGATGGCATTAAAAAAACGCCATGAACTTTTTCCCACACCTAATATGTCTTGATAAAACAATTATGTTTTTTGTTTATTAATTTGTTTATTATTATCTACATTAATTCATCTCATTTTGTACAGGAAAGTATCAAAGTATGGTTATAAAAATAATTAATAATTTATGAGATATTTAATATTTTATTTTTTAAATATACCAAAATAAAGCGTAAAATATACTGATTTTTTAATAACTGTAATATTTTTATATGCAAAAATAACTAAAAGAATCATATTATGTAAAAAAAAGCCATAATTTTATTTAAAAATGATCTTCGCGTAATTAAAAAAAAACCGATTTTGTTTTTTTTGGACAATTGATTTGCAATTATTTGTTTTTCTCCGGACTATACAACTTTTGTCTGAAACATTTTTACCTATCGTAAGTCTTCGAAATATTTGACTGGACTCTTTAAAATGGGACACTTTGTATGTACGAAAACAATAAGTTATAAGAAATTATTCAAAACTATTTCAAGGACGAAAATATTTGGCGAGCTGTTTATAGAACTAGAAAATGTATATAAATTCACGCAGACATATTAAAAAGCGAATGTATATTAGTTGTACACGTTCTATTGGATATCAGCTAATCACAATATTAGAAAAAAAAAAACTTCTTAGACGAAAGTCATCTGTGATTAACAGTGAGCAATTGCAACAGTACCGCCCCTTAAAAGCTAGTAGCGAATTTGATTGGACGCATTAGTGCACATTACATAATTTACACAAGTTGATGTAAAGATGTATTTAATACAAAAATAGAAACGGATTAAAGTAACATTCTATAATACATTTTATTTACTTTTTTGTGCTATTAGATAAAATATATATTTTAAAATATTTATATTTTACTTTTACACTTGGGTTAAATCAGCGGTTTTATGTGCGCACTAATGCATCCAATCGAATTCGCTGTAACATTCAGCTCTGATTGAATAGGCTTATTTTTATTTACAAGGAATCTATTCGGTTCAATTTTTCTTGAAATATGTTGTTAAACACAAAGATATAAAAGATATGTACTTTTTTTTATAACAGTCTAAATTTAGATTCAAAACAACTCTTTAAAGCTAAAATTTATATTTGATTCAGTTATTAGCGAAATGGTGAGATTTACAAAAAAATGTTTTAGACAAAACTTTTATGATTTTTTAAATATTTATAACAGTGTATTTAGATTTTTCAAAAATATTTAATTTCATTATAATTTAATTATAATATTTAAAAAATACTTCATCTCATTAATTTTGAGGGATTATTTCATCCATTAAATCCGAGATTGAGCTGATATAAAAAGTAGACAGTATCTCTTAGAGTTTTGTATTTTGTATTAACAACATATTTCAAAGAGAATCGAATTTCTGTAAGCTTATTCTGTAACTTTTTGACGACAATTCGATATCGTTATATTGTCGTTACGTAGCTTTTTCAATATGTAAAATATCTGCGCAACGATATCTAGCTAATAAAATTATCGTTAAAAAGTTATAGAATAGGCCTACTGGACAGTTATGATAGGAGCAAGGGTCAAAGCTAACGTTTATATTTCATATTATACTATCAATTATTAGTAAAATGATGAAATATTTCGGTTTGAATTGGTTTCAAATAATTGTGACAGGTCCCTTGTTAATAATATGTAATATACAAAAATTATGTCTTTTTATTATTTTTTTTATATTCATTTTGAAATAATAAAGTAATTTTTTAGTAACATTTTGATACATTTTGTACGATATATAATTAAGTCTTAGTAAAAAGATACTAAATTTTCTGGCACAATTAATGTAGCACAATAATTCAGGGTGTGTATATGCTGAATTTACTCAATATTTTTTAATTAATGAATATATTAAAAAAAGACATATTATGAATTGTGCATGGATCCAATTTATACAGTCTTTTTTATTGGTATAAAATTTATGTACATGGCAAAATGATATATTTAATCGCCGGCCTATTTAAATAGTATATATATCTAATAGTTAGATATACAAATAACTATAAGTATGATCTTTTTATAAGTAACAGTGACTGATATCGATTTCTGATTTTAATATTCAGTATATGAAAAATAAGCAAGTATTTCTTTGGTTTATCACTAAAGTAGACATTTTTTGTTTAACTAGATATTCATCTAAGAAAATCATTTATTCTACAGTAACAATACTATTAAAGTACAATTTTCGACGATTGCTCTAGTAAAACTTATGTATTGTAAAACTTATGTATTGCAATTTATCTGTATATCAAAATATTTTATCTGTCATATTTTGAGATATGTAATTTATGATTATTTTTTCCTGCAAGATTTTGCTACAAATTTATTTAGAATAGAAATGTATAATATCTTTTAAAATATACAATTTTTCTTACAAACTTTATTATATTTATTCAATATAATTTATCATGATTTTAAAAAATTTTCCTGTATTCGAATTGCCACCCAGGTACTCCCGAGTATCATCCTTGTTAATGTTTGGTAAACAACAAGGATGGAATGATATCTGAGTGGCATTCGGATAGGAATCTGAATAATAGTCATTAAGAATTTTTTATTGATGCTACAAATTACGTTCATATGCAAACAAATTGTCGAGCAACTGTCTTTAATTTAATCGATGCATCTTGTAAAATATTGCTGCAAAAAATTG